AACGTTCCTTTTTTGGCCAGAGATCGCCAAGACCGAACAGTCGGTTCCATGTAGGTCTAAGCTCATGGGGCCCACTTCCTGAGCAGGGACATGGCCGGGCCGCGATTTGCGTTGGTCAGGGCCCCTGCAACAATGCGGGGACTCCTGTATCGGTCGGGGGCCGAGTGTCTTACAAGGTGTCCTGTATCAACAAGGTGCCTCTAGTCGGTCAGGGGATCATTTGCTCAACCGGGAAGAGGACGGGAGCCGAATGACAGAGGACCACTTGCGTTGGTCGGGGCCCTCTGACGAGGAAAGGAAACAATGCTATTTATGGTAAGAGTTCACATTGAGACAGTGTAAGGATCCTGTGCCAATCGGGGCTCCCAGTTCCGAACGGTGGGACCTCCAACCTAATTCCAGCATGGGCCCGCTAAGGCGAACTGAAGTCTATGCGCCGATCATTGGATCACCTGCGGCGATCAGGGATGTTGTTGCGTCAAAGAGGGCTCATGCGCTCATCGGGAGCCAACTGTGAGGATCAGAAGGCCTCCCGCGTCAGGGAGGGAACCAATGTGATACGATGTATCCTTCTAAGGGCCTCCGGACTGTCCGGGGACTCTGCCTCCTGTCGCCAAAATGACAGCCGGAAGACACCCTGCGGTGAAACGGAATTGCTCTCCATGTCCTGACCGGGAACAATAACGCTCCCCTAATTTTCTTCTTAAGAGGCACCCCTGTCCGGAGAGAAACGAGGGGTTTCATAAATGCCGAATGGCGTGCGTCGAAATAATTTAAAAAACAAACAAGATCATCCCATGTTAGCCCGAGAACGTTCATTCTTTTTGCAGAATCCATTCGTGAAACAAATTACATCAAAGGGTTTGAGCGCGCGCGCGCGAAATCTTGGAAGCAAGGACAGCGATGGTCTGGGTTGCAGTTTCCGTAAAACCCGACGGCGTTGGCCGCGGCAAGTAACACCGAGCGCTCCGCGCGGAAACGACCGCTGCGAAATAATCGTTCTGAATGTTTTTCAAAATAAATTCGTACCGTTCAATGGTAAGACTGCGCGTATCATGTTAGCTACTTTGAGGATGTCCTCTGCACAGATGAACAGCTACAGCAACACGAAGACTAGAGGTTTTACCTTTATCTTTCCAGTTCCACCACCAGGTTCCAGCCAGCACCACTTCGCGGCACTGTAAATTCCAATCCGTTCGTGACATCGATCTCGATCTAAAAATTGCACCGGTGAAATATACGCCCGGACTATCTTCTAAATGTATGACTTAATGCCCTAAAGCGTTTTAAGATATTTCTTTCATACTCGTCGTCATTTTCGTCCACCCATTGGCCACGGGTTAGTGTTAGCCAAAGGACCGATGCTGCGTGGCCTATGAAACAGCAAAGACTGGTGTTGAGGTTTTTGTCACCAAGATTTGCGAGCGCACAAGCTGAAAGCTAAGTACACAATTTGTACCACTAATCGATTCTGACTAAAGGTTAAACATTTCTTGGTCAAATTGTTATAAACTGTTGATACATTTCGATCAGCAGTCTACATTCCCGGGTCACAATTATGTCTCTTTAAACCCCATAATTTTTTGATGAAGCTATTGGGTTCTGTCGGATAAGAAACAGTCCATTGGACCAATTTAAAACGAAAAGCGCCGGCTGCTTATTTCATGCAACCGCTGAACGCATATCATCTTTGTTTATTGGCTGTAAAATTCAGCCAGAATTTGTCCCGAGGTAGCTTCTGGCTTTTGTTCGTTGTAAAACAAAAACATAGGAAAATACCGATGGAAAGTACGCCCGCCTTGACAAATGGACTATATCTGGCGATTTTTTTCTAGGGGTGGGTAGGTGGGGGGGGGGGGCTTTTCCACGATCAGGGGTCCCTTTTTCAACCCTGCCCCCCCCCCTTGCCAAGCTTCTCGCTGTACGCCTGAAGATGATGCTGATTCGAATTTAGGGCGCATGTTCCACTGTCAAAAGCTGCCCGTTCTCTTTCTACATTAAAATCACTGTGCTAGAAAGCTACAACGGCAACTACTCCATCATTCGCAAAGACACTGGTTTGCTTAGTTGTGACGTGGTACACATATGCATACACAACATGACAATCGTTACACCCGCGGTTATCTTCAATTTGCCCACGAAACCAAGATCCCAGCTGCGATAGCCCATTGTCCTGCGACAGGTCGTACTGCTCGCCGAGTCCTAGCAGAACTGGGGACATTTTTAAAACCGCAACATCCCACCAATTACTCATATCATTATCCAAGGCGATATTAATGATCCAGGCGAAAGCCTGTGGCGACTTGGAAACAAAGATACGCGGACGTTGTGCTTCTTCCTTGACTGATACATACCACATATACACATACATATATATGTTTATACCTATATATATATATATATATATATACATATATGTATATACATACATATTTAAAGTTTATATGTTAACACCTATACAGGATTTCAATATACGTTGTACGTATGCTTTCCCCTGAGCTGATACGTTATAGGCGCGCTTATGACATTTCATTGGGGCGTCCCTATCAAGGCTATCAAACGTCCCCGTACCGTGCCAAGGCTTTACGAGGCTGAGGGCAAGGAGAAGAATTGCAGCAGTCTCGCAGGTAGTTTGCATGCTGGGTGGATTTTTCAGGATTGTTGCGTTCTTGTCGCATACTGACGCTTTTATCCAGTGGATGGCTTATTAAGAACGTTCTCTGCCGTTCCTAATTCCAAATTAGTTCGGTGAACATCCTCTACGATCCTTAATCATGTGCCGGTTGTCATATCGCCAGGACACCGTGAATCGCCGGAAACAGCCTTGATCCCCGCAATTTGGTGTGATCAGCATTCGGCAGCAAACATTTTGGATAGTGCTGGAAGGCTTACACCAATCACCATTATAAGACTGACATGGGCACCCAATGGTATGTCTGCATTGATTATGTAATCTTGGCTTCAGACAGGGCTATGACTTTCAGAGTGCAAAAATGCATGTTACATGGAAGATGTACCTTAGCATCTAAAGTTAAGCACACAATTGTGATTAATTTTGACACTGAGATGACCAATTTTAATTAATAATTATGGTGTGGAAGTAATTTCATTCTAAAATAGTTCAAATTCTGTCCGTAGAATGACTTCAAAGTATCGAAGGATTTGGCCTGGCCTGATGACAATACATACAAGCACAAGGTCCAGCTCGCTGATGTTGAGCCAGTGTCTGGGGTACTCTCCAAGAAGATATCATTTACTTTATGATGTGGACTAGTGGTGTAGCCAAAGAGGACTGGGTCTTTCATAGGCCTGTATTTTCTTCTTTTACCACAGGTAGTAAGTACAATAAAAATTGGCTTCATGTGCATTAGAGTTTTGTGCTTCCAGCTTCAGGGAATCTTGGCTTTGTTCTGGACATGGCCACCTGATGATGATTGTTTAAGATGCACAGCATGATGCAAAGATATTTTCCAGCAAAAGTTACTTAGGCAATTTTTTGCCTAAAAAAATCAGTTGGAAATGCATGGAAGTTTGGCATTGCTTAAATTCTGTGCATGTTAATGCACACTTCAATGCAGTTCAGTTCAGTGCACAGATGATGTATAGGTTCCAGCTTAGCAAATATATTTTTGTGAATTGCCCAGTTGCATGTTCACATAGAAGAGGTTTACATATGGTCATATTTGAATTGTTATCCTGCCATCTGTGTTGTTGAATGTCACATTGTATAGTGCTTGCTTCCATGATTAAATTGCTGTGCCTTATAAATTGTAACTTGGATTCATGAATAAGAAGTACTTGGAAAAATTGCAAAGTAGTATACAAAATATTTTTAATGATCATGAAGCCTTACACAAGGCCATGTTTATTATGTTCTTGTCACCTATAGGACTGTTGCCATGGTAATGGTCACAACCATTATATGAATATTTTTGCTTGGGTGGGGAGTGGGGGTGGAAGGATGGCACAGTCCACCTTCTCTGTAAGTATTGATGTCACTGGTTGTTGTAAAGTGATGGGTATTTTCTGAGAGTTCAACATAAAAGATACAGAGGTGCATGAAGATGGTTTGACCTGATGAAGATAGATACTGAATGTCTTCTATTCTCTGAAGTTGACAGCAATGATCATGATAACCATGTCTCACTTGATATCATTTATGGTAAGACAAAATGGTGTGCTGTGCATCTGAGCTAGGATCTTGGGTGCACTTAAGTGATCAAGTGCATGATTAGCTTGCTAAAATGCTCATCACAAAGCCAGCTGTCACCCCACAAACTTTTAGCAACATGACCAGAACTGGATCATTTGGTAACATTTTTGCCTGCCAAATATTTTTCCACCTTAGTGCCCCTGCACCTGAAAAGCCTTCAACAGTTTACATTTGGCTTGGAGTCAAACCATGCCTGGAATGTAGCAGTTAAAACCTTTTGTGCCTGCCTGTTTGTCACTTGTTTCTTATCCTGAGGTGAGGCAGATGTGGTGATAGTGACCAGCAAAGTGGCAAGATCATGTAATGCCTTAGTATGCTGTACAATATACCTACTTGCCATGCATATACAATGCTAGTACAACTGTTATGTGGTGACATGTGCAGATACTTGTGTGAGACTACTGGGATTACTGGGCAGCAATTATGAAGTACATTGCTTCTCAAAATATCACAAACTGGTGGTGCAGTGGTCCTTTGGTTTCCTTCATGATCTAGGCATAGGCATAGGCATAAGGTCACTCTGGCTGTCATTCTTGTATTCTTGTAGTCCTATGCTGCTTGAGATAACCACTGGCAGAAAACAAAGCATAGGGCATAATGAACCATGCTTCTTGATTTGTATGGGAGGTAGTGTGAAGAAAGGATGATGGTATAGCCAGTAAGGTGAGGATGGCATGCACTCACAAAATGTTATGAAAATTTGCCTCCTAATAGTTTTGAAAATTTGCTTCCTTCCCATTTTCAACTGTAGCACATTGGGCAGCCTGCCACATCGACCAGTTCCATCCCACCAATGATCGCTCCATCCTCCAGATCGCCACCACCGCGTGCGCCGCGCCGCTGTCTGTCCTCCGGTGGCTGACGTGTGCCCGCCGTGCCGGCAGACACCTCCGGTGAGTGCCGCCGCGCCGCCATGCTGGGGCGCCTGCTGGCTGCGGTCCGGACGCTGCCGGCGCCACTGGGCGCGCGCGGCCGTTGCCTGCAGCCGCCGGCTGCCGGCGAGGCACGACTTACGGCCGTGCTGCGCGCCCGCTTCCCGGCGGCCACGGCCGTGCACGTGGAGGACGTCTCGGGCGGTTGCGGCGCTATGTTCGCCGTGCACGTGGAGGCAGCCGAGTTCGCCGGCCTGAGTCGCGTGCGCCAGCACCGCGCCGTCCAGCAGGCGCTCGCTGAGCAGATCCGCGACATGCACGGCATCCGAGTCAGCACGGCCGTCCCGCCGCCGTCACCGCCGGCGTAGCCACGGCCGCGCTGCCGGCGTAGTCCTGTCGTGCTGCCGGCGTAGCCACGGCTGTGCTGCCGGTGTAGCCACGGCTATGCTGCCGGCGTAGCCACGGCCGCGCTGCCGTCGTAGCCGCGGCCGCGCCGCTGGCGTAGCCACGGATGTGCTGCCGGCGTAGCCACGGCCGCGCCGCCGGCGCAGCCACGGCTGTGCTGCCGGCGTAGTCACGGCTGCGCTGCCGGCGTAGCCACGGCCGTGCTGCCGGCGTAGTCACGACTGGGCTCCAGGCGCGGCCGTGCGGGTCAGTTAGTTTTGATATACCGCCGGCGCTCGCTTGCCGCAGTGGGGCAGCCGGCTTGCCCGCGGTTTTGTCTCGGGGTGGATGGTAGGGCGTGCACCGCCTCCAGCCTGGTGGGACCGGGGTTACATCTGGCGCTCCAAAGGGCGACGTGCGTAGTGTGCGCGAGGTGCTAGTCGTGAGCGTGACCCGCGTGCGGTGGCAGCGGACGGCTTCGCCTCTGGGGTAGGATGATATGGGTGCGGGGGGCCTGGGTGGGGCGTGGCGCTGGTGTGGTGCGTTGTAGCACGCGCGGTACGTGTACGTGGTGGAGTGGTCTCTCAGGTCACGGTAGGTCATTTGTTTGTGTTTCCGAATGTGCCATCAGATGCTAGCGGGAGATATGTTGTTGGCGGTAGCTGCGCGTAGAACTTTGTCGATTATCACCCGGTGACTGTGTGGTTTACTGGCATGTTTGTCACACCTGTCAGCTGCCTGTCTCATGGATCTAAGCGACAATGTGGTGGATAATGTTCTGTGTGGATGTTGGATGCTGTTGGAGATGGATAACGTTACTATTCACAGGCCAATGGGGGTTAATATATTTGAAAAAAATAAATGTAGTTATCACTTTTGTTTCTTCCTGAAACCGCGATACCGGTTTCAAATGTTACTCGGAAAGGCTGCGCATCGCTACCCACCAGCGGCAACACGCGGGCAAAACGAATCTGTCTTGGGCGTGGGATAGGTCAGCGATGCTTGCTTGTGCTGTTTTTTTGCTGCCTTTTTAATTATAGTTATTGCTTGACGTCTCTTCATCGCGGATAATAAACTGCGAGTGCGTTCACAAATGATGTTCCACTTCAAGCTGTGCGTCTGTCAGAACAACCACGCCCTTCGTACCTGTGCGCTAGCGCATTGCAGCTTTTCTGTTAAGCCCAGTCCAATACTCCTCGTGCTAGATTAGCGTCCAGGTCATCGTAGATTTGACATTTGGTGTGTCCAAGTGTTATGTACTTGCTATGACCGTACATATATGCAGCGTGTTCAACGATCGCTGCGACCCAGTAGGCTGGTCTTAAACACGTTGGCCCCCGCGGCTCGTGATCGCCTTTACAATTAGAGCTTCGCCCCTCCGCCGCAGGATGGCGCACGACACCGACTGGGACGTCGAGAAGTACCGTAACGACCACGAGCCGCCGGAGCACTGGCGCTTGTGTCGGACGTTCATGGAGGCGCACAAGGCCTCCTACCCGCAGGCGCAGCTGGTCTGCCTGGCGCAATGCTTCGCCAACATGGAGTTCCTCGGTTGCCGGTACCCGGACGAGACAATGCGACTGGTGCGCGAGCTCTCGGCCGGCATCGCCGACGACTACCGGCAGCATCGGCAGCAGCGGACGCAGCGGACATTCGTGCGGGCGTCGGACGCGGCCGAAGCGAAGGTGACGCGCAAGCGGATCGCCTACGACACCGGCGGCGGCACGTCCGCTCAGTCCTACCGGCTCTGCGAGCGGTCGGAGAGCGGCGGTGGCAACTCGGCCGCCTTCATCCTGGTGCAGTACGGCGAGGCTCGCGTGGACGAATCGCCTGTCAGCCGGCTCATGTGCTCGGCCGGCTTCTGCAAGGTGCCGGTGGCGTTCGAGTTCGTCGGCGACGCGGAGGGCGCGGCCGCGTGCCGCTGCCTAGTCGGCGGCGACGAGGTGGGCGCGGCGGCGGCGCCGACCCGCGTGGCCGCCAAGCAGGCGTCGGCGGCGGCGGCGCTGGCCGCGCTCGAGCGCCGCTGCTACACCATCCGGCTAAAGACGCGTGTGCTCTCGGACGAGGACGTGGCGCGCGCCGAGCTGGCTTCGGCCGACGGCGAGCAGCCGGCACCGGCCGCCGCCGCCGCCGACAGCGTGGGAGGCCGCCTGCTGGCGCTGATGGGCTGGACGGGCGGCGGGCTCGGCAAGAGCCAGCAGGGCATCACGGAGCCGGTGCGGCTGGAGGAGGTGGTCGGCCGCCAGGGGCTCGGCTCCTCTGCGCAGCGCGCCGTCACGCGCGAGTTCAAGAACAACGCGGAGATGCGCCTGCGCGCGTACGCGTCCAAGTTTCAGGAGAAGGATCTTTCGTTCAGCGCCGAGTTCAGCATCGAGGAGCGGAAGGAGATCCACACGCTGGCGCGCCGGTTCGGCCTGAAGAGCAAAAGCTACGGCAAGGGTGACGAACGGTGCCTGGTGGTGTCCCACAAGTTCAACCCGTACCACCTGCTGCAGTACCTGATCGCCACCGGCGGCCACACGGACAAGTACGAGCTGATACCACCGAAGGCGGACGAGCCGACCTGACCGCAGTGTCGGATGGGGGAGGAGGAAGGGGGGGGGGGGGACTTTGCGTGCGATATTTACCGGCTGCATTGGTGACACTAGTGCCACACGGGCAGTGCGCGTTGTGGGTGGGTAGGTGTGTTGGGGGGGGGGGGGGGGGGTCGTTGTGATAGCCGTTGTCCAGCTAGTAATGTCTGGCCAAATGTCTGCCTGGAGCCCATGTGTAGCGCGTTTGTGTCCTGCGACCTGGTTTATAACGGCTTGCCATCGGCTTATCAATACATGTCATCAATTTGTTAATTTTGGTCCTTTGTACGAGTCCAAACATTGTGTCCTTGATGCATACGATCTTTGCGCTATTGTGTAATATACTAAATATCCTGTAATATCCTGTAAATATCCTGTACCCGTACTTCATAAAGTGGTTCTGAGGGTTGTTGCTATTATACTATGTTCCTGTTGAATGACAACTTTTAAACAAAAACGGTCACGTTCTAAGGTTAGGGATTTGTAATAGTGTGAATGGTTTTCCTGATGTTATCTCTGTGGCTATTATCTCAGGTAAATATTATCTTTGTTATGATATTATGATAAATATTATGGCAATAATATTTATATTATGATAAACATTATGGTAAATATAAAGATATGGTAAATATTATGGTATTATCTCAGATAAATGGTAACCCGTAATGATAAAACTATATGTCCATTCCTCCACCTGAAATCTGACATTTGCTCCACTGATTTCAATGCGGTTGTCTGTAGCTGATGGACGTCTCGTAGGCAGTTTCCATAAGCTTCCCATTGACATGGCTGGAAAAGTCCGGGGACCAGGGAACTTGATGGTATACGGCCCTAGAACAGCAGCTTAGATGAGCTGAGTTCAACTCGGAACTATGAGAATATCGTTCAAGACTGATCTCGTCCAGTCAGCTGCCTGTGCGATTTTGATGGGTCAGGCAATTTTTCACGTGCAGTTCTACATTTTTAAAGTTTTTTTTACGTTTTACATTTTCCTACGTTGATATCTGAATATCAGGTTCGCTGCCCCCTCGCGGGTCAATTTTTTCGGATCATAGCAGATGGCCACTAGCCATACACTATGATGGAACTGGTTGTCAGGTTCAGGGGGCCTCTCTTCTCTTGATAGACACGAAGACTGCATGCAAATTATTCTAGTTACTTGTGCGTGGGAAGCTGCAGCATGTCGGAATTCACTATGACTTATCTTTTGCCGTTCGTTCGCGGTTCACGTACAAAGGTTCCGCAGAGTTTTGGCTTCGGCGCAGAGGGAGCGTTCCGTAAAATAAGTTAGGGACTGAGCAGAGAAAAGACCAAGCTACCTCAAAATCGCCAATGGCAAGCTTTCTTCTCAAAGCTGGAAAGAGGGCTGGAGCCACCAGCTGAGGTGACACTACACATCTGCTATACATGGCCATTTTGGGGCCCAGAGCCCGGTAATCGTGTCAGCGTCATGACAGTGTTTTAGCTATACTGTACGGAGTTCCACGACCTGAAGAGCGGGTTTTTCAACAACTGACTCATCACCGAACGTGTTGTGAACCATGATTCGAAAGTGACGTTAATTGCTCGGAAAGCAAGCCTAGAGGAAAAACGATTTTCTTGTAATCTGGGAAATCTTTTAACTTTGCATTACGCAGCAAACGACTCATGCCAAAGTTGTCACGCATTGCTGGGACTGAGAAAGCGTTTTATCAAGGTCGTATACGAAATAAAATGGGGGAATTTGGGTGGACCCGGTTTTTAAATGCTTTTAGTTTTACGCGTGCTGAAATTTCAGCCGTTTCCAACCATATTCATAGCAAAATAAATGATTCAGCCCTCCACAGTCACCGGATTAATTCGAAACAAGCTGAATCAACGAAGAACTTTTTCGCGCGAAGCGGCATTTAATGCCACGGTCCCCCTCCAACCGGCGGGACGCCGTACACCGCGCCATCTGGGGAGAGGGGTAACGAGGCTACCATACTTGAAACGCGCGTGCCCGCCGGCGTCCCCTGCGGCAGCTCTCGCTATTGATTTGAACGTGGCGGCGGCGGGCGCAGTGAGTCATCGGGCCCTCTGGTGATGCCGGCGCGCATCACAGACGCCCGAGCCGCCGCGCGCCGCCCGCCAGTGATAGGTGTAGTGCAGTGGGGAGAGGGAGCGACCGCCGGCGGACAAAGGCACCGATCGCGGACGACCGCGCACGCCCGAGGAAGTCTGCAGAGCCCCGCCGCCGGATAGCAGCACAGACGAGGTACGTTGATGAGTCATGAGGCGGTGTTCCAGATAAGGGACGGAGATGAGCCGTAAGCGATAACGCAACAGGCGGCATGCTTTGTACGGCGATGAGTCGTATGCTTGTAAGGATGAGGCGTCGACGATGCCATGTGGGTGAGTCACCTGTCGCTTCCAGCCGCAGGCAGGGTACCTTTGGAGGAGCTATGGGTCAATTGGATAAAATGTATGTGTAGGAGAGACGGCAGTGCAGACGAGGGACGGCCATCGGCCGATCAGTGGCGGCGGAGAGGCGAACGAATTACGGCCACTGAGTGTGGGGAGAGCAGCGCGCGGAGATGAAATGTGGCGACGGCAGTGCTTACGCCTGCGGAGGTGGAAGGCGGCAGCGGCGGCAGATCGTGCTTTGGGATGAACTGTGGGCAGCTAAGCACACGCGAGGCACAAATCTCAGACGTTAGGCGGCAGGGCATGGAAGGCACGGAGGCCAGCCGTAAGACAGCCGCATGGCCGTCCAAATTTGAGCATGAGTGGCATTGGGGCGGATAAGGCACGGAGAGTGGTACGGAGAGTGCCGAAGGCGGCGGCTGTGCGGACGGGTATGAGCCGTGAGGTGGGGACAGCTACACAGACGAGGCATCGGCGTCAGCTGCCATGTCAGCCGGCGTACTCAAGACGACCAGCGCGCCTAGACGGGCGACCACACAAGGCCAGCGACCCGGCCCGGCGCGCGGCCGTCTGCCATGGTAACGGCTCGCGCCCGGCGCTGGATTACTTCGCGTCTCTGTTACCCTCTGCGGTGCTAATCGGCGACGAAGTCGTGCTGACGGGGTTGGCAACCCGGGAGTGCGGTTCCGGCTTGGCGCCCGCCGAACGTTTTCCGGTGTTTTGAGCAACACGCTGCCGTTTGCCGGCCGGTCATTGCAGGACGGGAGACACCCAAGACGCGTGTCTGCTGTCGGCTGATGAGAAGACAGAGGACCGAGCTGTTGTGTAGGAAGAGGACCGAGCTGATGAGAAGACCGAGGGCCGAGCTGATGAGAGGACTGTGGACCGAGATGTTTGCTGTCGGCTGACGAGCTGATAGAGGATGGAGGCGTCAGGGAAAGTCGCCGGTATATGCAGAAGAGGGACAGACGTATGCGTGTAGGAATGCACTGGTGGACAGGCTTAGGACCTTTGTCACGAACATCACGGGACTTTTTGTCGCTGTTGTTGAGTCGGAGGCATCGCTGGCTTGGCAAGCCGATCAAAAACAACTCGGGTCTGAGGTGGCGCGCCTAGCTGTCCGCGTCATGCGACCTCTGTTGGTGTCCCAGGTGTCTGGGTGTGATTTCATTTCTGCCCCGGGCAAACACGCATCTGTTTCCTTATGTTGGACGAGACCCTGGCTCCCGACTCCTACTGGCTGCTTCGTGAACACCAGAAGCTGGTTTCTGGCTCCCAATGGTTCTTTGTCAAATACCACAGTCTGGTTTCTATTGGGTCTTTGGCAACCACCTATTCTACTTCCTTGTTTCTATTGGTTCTGTTGCAAACATCAAAGCCCGGTTCTTCCTTTCTATTGGTGTGTGTTAGACACCAGACCCTTCGTCACGGTTCCCTTTGTCTCACTCACGGAGCGGTAGATCTTGGTTTCTTTCTATCATTGACCCATTCGTAAACAACCGCTCTGGTTGTCATTTGGCATTTAATGCACCTTTGAACAGATATACTGTCTGAAATAAAATACATATATGTTGGTTTGAATCGCCTTGTGGTGCTGCTCGATATGCATAGAGGATTGCAGCATTGGTGACACCCAGTCTAATCCAATCTCAGTATCCTTATTTCCCAATCAATTATCTTCTCCGCCCGTTAACCTGTTGATATTCACCTTTTCTCGCTGGCTGCCACGTGCTGACCAGCTCGGCCATGGCGTGGCGAAGCCCATCAAATGATAGTCTTTGTCTCTGCGAATCGAATGTCTTCATCGTTCCAAATGCTGCCCAGATATGGACCTTCTCGCGAGCTGCCATGTTTGTTTACAATACCAAAAAGCGCCGCCGTGTTGGCCGGCGTCGGCGGCGAGCTGCGCAGGCCGCCTTGAGCCGCCGGGGCTCAGCCAGCCCCACAGGGCCGGCGCCGCGGCGCCATCTCCAGTGCAGCTGTTCAGTGCGGCACACGCGGACATGTCAGTCACGGGCTTGTTGCGACGCTTTGTCCAGACTGCGGCCGCGCGCATAAGAGAGTGCGTGTTATCAGCAGCTGCTGACGACATCAGCTGATATGGCAGCTGCTGACGAGCGTGTTATATCAGCAGCTGCCGACGACATCAGCTGACATGACAGCTGCTGACGAGCGTGTTATATCAGCAGCTGCTGACGCTATCTACGCTTCAACAGTTGAAAGGGCTAAGTGTGTGTGGCTCGTGCACCGCTTATGAAAACGGAATGCAGAAGTCGTGTTCTAATCTTCTCGTGTGGGGCGGCCAGACCGGACGTGCTTCCGTGCTGGCACAATCGCCGCCAGCGTAGCTTGCGCAGCGTACTGACTGTACCTGACGCTGTGGTCGGAAGCTGTATCTGCTGGTCACATCCGTCGTCTGCAGGGCCTGCGAAGTCTCGCTGGAGCGCAGCTTTGACGCTGTCCGCTGTCCCTGGCGTAGCTGAGTCTCAGCTTGCGCTGTACGCTGACTCAGCTGATTCTCAGCTTGCGTTGTGCCCTGGATCAGCTGATTCTCAGCTTGTGCTATGTCCTGGCTCAGCTGATCCTCGGCGTGTGCTGTGCTCTGGATCAGCTGATTTCCTGCT